TGTAGATCCCATGGTGAGGATTGTAATCATCTATTTTTATCTTGTAGTGTAACTGCAAAGCTATGGGTTTGGCTTCTTTCTTTGTTTGGGTGTAGTTGGGATATGACAGAAGAAAAATGTGGAGGTGCACGCAAGCAGCATTGTTATGGACAATGTATTGGCTTGCATTATGTACAGGCCAATACATTGGTTAAAGACTCTAGAATTATTTAACCATCTCTTTTACTGATTGTTGGAAAGATAGGAAGTTAGTAGCAAGCTGTTCTTCCTAGAAGGTAAGGGTAGTGACTAGTTGGGTCCCCCCCTCCTCTTGGTTCTTTGAAGCTGAATTTTGATGGGAGTAGCCAGGGTAACCCAGGTCCCTCTGGGATGGGAGGTGTACTGAGGAATGAGGCTGGAGAGGTTGTCTTACTCTACTCTGGCCCTTTAGGTGTTGGGAACTCTATCAGGGGAGAACTGTTAGCTGCAATACAAGGAATACTTCTTGCAAAAGAAGTGGGCGTGGAACAGCTTTTGATTGAAGGAGATTCTAAGACAATGGTGGACTAGTTAAATAATCCGAAGGATGTCACTTGGGGCTACAAAAATGAGTTAAAGAAATTCAAATGGTTGACAAGAAATATGTCTATAACAGTACAGTGGGTTGGGAGATCAGCTAATGCATTTGTCGATGTCTTGGCAAAACAAGGGGTAAATAGGAAAACATTGTTCTGAGCACAACTGTAACCATTGTTTAACATCAACATTCATGTAATCTCTGTTGTAGTTTTTGTATTTGCTTTTTGGAGAGGCGGCACCTCGCACCTCTAAGGGGATTTTCATGTAACCAATCATTAAATTAATGGAAGATGATTTTATTTATCAAAAAAAAATGGGGACTTGCAAGAGGAGGTGTACATGGCTCTTCAAGCTGATTTTTACAATGATGTGGCTAAAGGAAATGAGGGGATCACTGGTGTCAGTTTTGATGTAGTCATAGGAAATGATTTGCATGGGAATGAAACCTTGAAGAAGAAGAACCTACACAGAGTTTGAGATTAAGGATATTGGGGATCTGAAGTACTTTCTTGGCATTGAGGTGGCAAAGGGCAGCTGATACACCTATTTAGCAAAACCACAAGATAAATGCTTCAGAAGGTGAACTAGTGAAGGATTTTGGAAGGCATCAGAGATTAGTGGGTCGGTTGCTATACTTATGTATGACACAACCAGACATCTCTTATGCAGTGAGTGTGGTGAGTCAATACATGCATGCCCCACGAGTTCAACATTGGGAGGCCATTGACAGGATACTTTCCTATTTAAAGGGGCACCTAGGTAGAGTCAATACATACTCTGTTTGTTAAAAGTAGGGTTGTTCACGGGTCGGGTTGGGTCGGTTTATTGCGGTTTTTCTAACCGACCCGACCTGGTCGGGTTACCTGATATAGAAATCGAAACCGACCCAGTGTTAAGCAAAACCGACCTGGTCGGTTTGAGTCAGGTTGGGTCGGTTTCAGTTCTAAGTTCATCCCTGTGATAAAATCTTGCTAATTTTAAAAACAGTCATAAATTGAACATCATTTCAGCCATCTCCTATGATAAAATTTAAATGAAAAGTTAATCACAAAAG